GGGGGGGGAGGAAGCTCCGGGGTGCGGCGGCCACCCGGGCAGCGACCCGCCCGTCCCCGGCAGGCACCTGCCCCGTGGCCAGGCTACAGTACTCTACGCCTAAAATAAGTGGTCCGCTTAGAGCCAGGCCCCGTTGTGTGCATTCACGGACAACACAATTAATCCCACGCGCAATTTTCGGGGTACTGTAGGTGGCCTGACAACCTGAACTTATAATCTTATGAGCTATACAATACTACTACTATATGACAGTACTAGAGGGACAGAAACGGTTTACGGTGTAATGTTCACGTTGTACACGTACACAAGGATAAAGCGAAGATTCGACAAGAAAAAAGTCAAATTATCCGACCGCAATCGAACCACGCGACGCTGTTGTTGATAATTTCTTGACATCATCAGCAACAGTTGACTTTTTCTTACTATCTAACTTTTACATTCATATAGACCATGTTCTAGAGAGAAAATCCGTCGTCTGCCGTCGGTATGCATCCGTAAAGGTCGCGAGATGGTCGGTTTCTATGGAATAGAAGCTTTAGGGTGGCTGAATCACCAGTTCGTCTTTCAAGAACACCGTAATAAAGGCCTTGGTACCTTGCTGGAATTGGCACACGCCCAAAATTGTATTCGGCAAGTTCAATTTGAAGAAAGCGATTTATTGATTGGATTAATACACTTATCAGTTGAATGTACTGAGTTTGCAGAGCTGGTATGAAAGTGTGCAAACTGGTGGAAACACACAATATAGCGACGTTTGAGTCAGCGAAACGCTCAAAATATTGGACACTTGCTGAGGAAGACGGCAAGGAAGTTGTTATTGATTACCTAGATCTTTTCAAATAAACATTATTGACTGCCAAAGGTTTGTCTTCACATTCCAATAGCTGTAAAGAATGCTGTCCTTGCGAAGCGATGAGGACAGTTCTGTCGTAGAAAGTCACTGAAACGGGAAGAATTAGTCTACATGGGTGACAGCAGTAGGTCGATGAAGGCTAACTTTGTGGGGCAGGAATTACATGATCTGCGACAATTCTCCAGCATCCAAGCTCTTTTACAGTCCCCTGTCCGAGACCATTTAGGGCAGTCGGTGTGGTAGTCGGCACAGTCTGAATCCAATAATAATTGTTTTCTATAACGATCAATAAAATCGATTTAGTGGGTTGGTTGCGCACCTCCATAACGATATTGTGGTTGGCATTGCTGGCAGCTCACTCTACACTGACAAAGCATGAATGTAGGATTTGTTCTGCATTCGCCCTTAAGGAATTCGTTAGATAATTCAAAATAAAAAATATATTACAAAGCAAGATTACATGAAACTGTTGAGAAACACAATTTTCCACACATACGTTTTCCCATTTTCCTCACCCAAAGCACTATTTTCAGCTTTTTTTTTGAGGAGGGAGACAACTTCGATCGAATTCGAAAAGCGACAGATGGTCTAATAACTTGATGCATGCTAACTTTGAGCAAAAAATGTTTACTCGCAATATTACGTTGATTTTGCTAAGCTGGGCGAATCATCCGGCCTTGAGCGGGGCCAGAAGAATACACGAGACCAAGGGTGAGAGTCTTTAACGAAGCTTCAAAAGACCATCCCTTGATAAGGTAGAGCTTGCATACAATCTATGATGAAGTGTTGAGGTGAAGGAGGATTCTTTGGCTGACGTTGGCTCACTATCAGGAACGACATTATAGGTTCTGATTTTTACATGGCTCTATCTTCGATATGAACCCATCCTACAAGTGAACGCAGTCCGGTATTTTAGGCGAGTGCCCTCTTTTCCTAGGCGCTTTAGGACGGATGAACCGCTTCTCTTCTCGACTGAGTGCTTCCGCGGTCGTCGAACATTGGATGCTGCGCAGCTACCAGTCCCCCACCCTCCAAGAGGGCCATCCGTTGCTGTGCATTCGAATAAGAGCGGATTGTACCTCAGAAATCAGAGTATAAGGACGCTAATGTTGAAGGTGATGGGGTACGTTACAGTACAATTGCATATGCCATGCTCATAACCGGTGAGAGACGCCGCACCTGACAGACGAATTTTCGCTGCTGACTGTTTGGGTATGACCGTGAAAGGGGTGGGAAAATTTGATTTTTTCCGTCACGAATTTTGTCTCTTCTTGAATTCGTATGGGCTTCGTTCTCGAATCGACAAACTGATGCACATCGAGAATTCGCCGCATATGGCAACACGATATGCCGCGTGCAGCGACGCGACGAGTTATGCTTGCCTTACCTTCTCCTGAAGTTCGATGAGAGAAGAGCTCGCGCGAACGTCCATTTCTGAACAAGGAAGGGATGGGCTTCACTGACGCGACCCTCCTTTTGCTGCTGTGAGACGAGGCCATTCCTAATGAAGAGTTCATGGTGGCTGGCTGTTTACGCCCACATGATCAGTGCAGACGGTCGTTTAGGCTACAGCTAAAAGAGCTCGTGGCGCTTGATGGTTGAGATAACCTAATGGGAGAGGTGTGAATGGCTTCGCCAGACGTTGCGAAAATTAGAAGGTTAGTAAAGCTGAGTAAAGATGTAAATCCTTTGTGGGAGGACGTACGCAGTCTATAATACTTCCGCTCGGAACCATAGTGGTCACTGAATGAAATGTGGCCTTCACAATTATCTGTTGGTCAGCAAATGACCAGGTGAGTGTGCTATCCTCCTGGATGCATCTGCTACCAGTTCACCGTCTTCGGAAGGAGGAGGGGGAGCCTTGTTGGGCTGGGCTACGGCCGATCCTAGACGTGATGTCGAGACAGTGCGCGCGGTAAGCCGACCATTTGCTGCGTCGCTTTCGCCTCAACAAAATTTTTACACAATTACAAAAATTATTACATATTTATTTTTTATAGTGGATAAGATTATTTTGATATGTGCTTTCTCGCTGTGCACCCACCTGGAATGCCCAGACTGGACAGCATTGGTCCTCATTGAAACACATTGGCGAGTTGCACTTCGAACCTGAGAAAAGCACTAATGAACACTTCGTTGTCGAGCTCATCAGCCAAATTTCTGAAAAACCGCCTGTTTACCTCCCGCTGGCTGTACTGGTAACCGCTGCACCGGTGCAGCAGTTGTTGTTGTAGCTGCAAAACTGACATTATCTACACGTTTGTTCTGATGACACCGATTTCTAGGAGCAAAGTGACGGAGAAATGTAGTCCCGCCGCTGCACCTGTGAACAGAGGATCCTTCTTGATCCGGCCATTGTGGAGGTTCAACTCTCTCTAGTTACCAGAAACTGATTAACGCACGGTTCACACCGGGGAAGTTTCTCGTTATCTTGCCATTCAACAAAAATCTTGGACTCACCCTGCTTTTGTCCACCACCACTGCATACTGTCGACTTTGCAATCCCGCATTTACCACATGCACGTCGACAGTTCTCCGACATCCAGAGCGGATTCTTAGTGCATTCACCAGTGTTCGACCACAGTAGACAGCTGGCATGTCGATCCAGGCATTCTTAACTATCAGTCGACCATAAGGTTGCAAAGGTTCTTTCTGACGTAGTCATTGCGACTTTTGAAGTTAATCGAACCACAGTGCAGTCATGATCGTGTTATACTGAAGGTGAAAGGCTATGGATGTGGCGAGATCCACGGTGCGGCAAGCGGGAAAAGTAGCGTCACAATTTGTAACTAAAGCGGCATTTGCATCCACGGGTCCTGACTGATTCAACATGAAAGTGTTACATCCCGAGTCAATTATCTAGGGACTACTACCTAGTTTGCGTGCGTCACCGCAACACGGATCTCTCATCGGCCCTCCCAAGAGCGCGAGCAGCAACTCTGTTAGCAAGGCCGAATCTCCTAGACTCCTTATCCACAGTCACTCTACACGACAAGGCTTTTTTTCCAGCTGCGCC